CCCTGTTTTTTTAGCCATATTGGCTGTTACAGTTGTGAAGCTCTCTTTTAAGGTAATGGGGAAAGGGTATTACCCTCCCCTTATGAGGGGCTGCTAGCTGAGCCTTTTATGCAGATAATCTTATGCTTACTATGACTTGTATCCTGGGGTGGGTTATGTGGCTGCTATGGGAAAGGAGTAGGGGAATGAATCTAGGCCAGTTTTAATTTATTCCCAGGTGTACAAGCTGTGCTTAGAAGCTGCTGGCATACAACTCCTAACTGGCACACACCCAAAAAATATGCCTAGTTGAAAAAGCTGAGTGGCTGGTTGCTGCATTACCTAGCAGGCAGGTAAAGCCCAAGCTGACTACTTTAAGGCAAATGTGAAAAGTCTGCTGTACCATCCTTTGTTTTTACAGGGTGGGGGAGGGGGTAAATGCAGCTTTGCTGGGCCCTTTATCTCATTTTTGGTATGGATAAGGGGGAGGGGAGAATTTGTGTGGGATTATTTGCAGATAGGAGGGGGGACAGCTTGGATACTAGCAACAGGGGCATCCCTTTCACTAATTCTCTAATGCCACAGAAGCAAGAGACTCTGCCCACTTCTTTCATCCTCCTTGAGGTGTTTCCTCTCCCCTACCCTCAATTACTTTCACTGGGTAGGGGCAGGGGCTTTGTGTGAGTGATAGTAATGTAAAATCCACTTGAACTGGCAAAATGGACAGGGGCTGCTCCAGCCTGGCTAAAGCTGGCCCTGTGGAACTGGAGTAATCCCCGGGAGAAGCTGCTCCTGTCCCTACTGGTAAACATCATGACTGCGTCTACACTGGCATGATTTTCTGAAAATGCTTTTAACGGAAAAGTTTTCCATTAAAAGCATTTTTGGAAAAGCGCGTCTAGATTGGCAGGATGCTTTTCCGCAAAAAAGCACTTTTTGGCCATGGACGCTTTTCCGCAATCTAGAAGTGCTTTTCCGCAAAAAAGCCCCAATCGCCATTTTTGCAATTAGTACTGTTTTCCACAAAAAAGCCCCATGCTGTCTACACTGGCACTTTTGCCCAAACGGGAGCAGCATAGTATTTCCGGAAAAGCACTGACAATCTTACATGAGATCATCAGTGCTTTTCCAGAAATTCAAGCGGCCAGTGTAGACAGCTGGCAAGTTTTTTCCAGAAAACGGCTGATTTTCTGGGAAAAACTTACCAGTCTAGACACAGCCCACCTGTTACCCTCCACCCACAAGGACTGTCCAAGGTGGAGCCAGAAACAAAGGGTGGGTGGGTGCAGGGGGGCTTAAAATGTGGGCTGAGGGGGTAGGGCTGGGGTTGAGCAAAGGATGGGCTGTGGGAGGGAGTTTAGGGGTGAGAGGGAATGAAAATGCTGGGGGGGGGGCAGCTGGAGTACAG